GGTTGCCACAGGTGCTAGGGCATAACTGACCAGCCCACAGCAGTGGAGCCTGACACCACTGTGTCCCCGGGCCAGGATAGCTGTGGGAGGTGGGGGAGCTTATTTCCTTCACCCTAGGTCCTGAGAGACTTAGATCCCGTAGCTGAACGGAGCCTGAAAGGCCATCTGGTCTACCCTTGGTCTGTCACTGTGGTCTCCTTGGTCAATCCCCTAGCAGGTGGCCTTATGGTCTCTGCTTGCTCACTTGCACTGCCTGAGCCAGCCAGTCCAGTTTCAGGCAGCTCAAATGATCAAGAAGCTTTTCTTAAACCTAAAGTTGAGGCAAATATTCAGTAGAATTAGCGACAGCAGGGAGCCTGGCCATGAGTTAGCCGGGACCTCAGCCAGTGTGCCCGAGCTGGGGTATGGTGGGCATTGCAAGTCAGGAAGCAGGGAGGGCAGACCTGATAAAACAGAGCCAGCCCCCAGGGACTCCCAGGAAGCCTGTGCTCAGCAGGGCCAGGCTAGCCAGGTGACAGATGGGGGCAGCTTTTGCAAGACCATCAGCACCCAACAGGAATTGTCCTGAGTGGGGCCTGGGGGGAGCAGGATGAGGCCAGGGCTGAAACGGGCCCCTGGCTCTTGGGGAGTCAATGTGCACTGTACTCTTGTCAGTGACAGGAGGAAGATCTACTGGCCAAGGGACAGCTGATGGGTCCACCTGCCTTCTTGGGTTCATGGAAAGAACCCAAGACTGGCTGACGTGTTTCTCTGTCCATTCACTTTCCTGATTGAGTGTGGCAGGTAGACATGAGGACCATCCAGGTGACCAGGGGACCGAGGTCAAAGAGAAGACAAGGCTGGATAGCTCTCCTGCCCTTCGGTAAATCGCACAAGTAGATGCAGATCCCCATGTGGACTTGCATTCCCTCCCACGGTGCTTCCCCAGCTGTGGGCCAGCGCGGACCAGCGTGGACTGATGGAATGCCTTATTCAGCAGCGTGGTGTCCTACATATTACTTTTCATCAAGAAACTCACTTCTCAGCGAACGAAGTGAGGCAATGGGCTTGCAATCATGTAATTTGCAGGTTTTATCACAGGCCCCACCACACAGAGCAGCTGGTACGAGTGGAATGGCCCATTGAAGGCCGTCTCCTGAAAGGAAGGTTCTGTCTTAAAGGCTGCAGTGTCTGCTCTGCATGTGTCTCTCTCTGCAGATTTCCTGGCCCAGGAACCAGGGGTAGAAGGAGCCCTGCTGGTGCGGAGGTCCAGGTTTTCAAAGGAGGAATGCTTCCGCCGGGACGGACAGCAATGCTTTAGTGGATTGCAAATTAAGTCTCACAGGCCATTTGGGGCTCTTCAGGACACTGAACCAAGCAGAGCATAAGAGGATTATTCTAATGACTGGGGAGCATTGGGAGGGGAAACCTGGGCACAGGTGCCCACACAATAAGGGTGGGGCTGGAACTCAGAGAATCCTCTAGAAACAGCAAACATGAATGGAAACTGTAATGAATAAAGGCTGCACAACTCAGACCTTTAGGAACAAAGGTGTGGATCCACCATGTCAAGTAACAAACCCTGACCAGCTGAGATCCTGGCTGAGGCCCGAGAAACACAGCTAGGGAGTGGGCAAAGCAGTCTTAGGACACCAGCTCCAGCCTCGTGAATTACAGGCTCTACACATCCTTCCTCCATGCTCACGGCAGCTCCTCCTGGAGTTGCTACACACACACACATACACACACACACACACACACACACAATGTTCTTTCCTCACTATTTCATGCAAGTTTCGTTGGAAGCTAATTTACCCTCTGGTCTTTAGGTATCATTGTTATTCTACATTCTGTTCAGATGAGACTGGGTCTGAATTAGGGGAATCAGCATAGCCCAGAGGTCGATTGTTGAGCTTTGCACATCCTGTTTGGGGCGAGGGTAGGAATATACTGCAACTGATTCTATCCCGGGCAGAAACACAGTTGCTTTTGCAGGAGTGTGTGCATAGATGCCGAGTGGCTAAAGGGGGGGACTGTACCAATGACTAAGCTCCTTCCTCTCAGCCTTCTCTGCTTCTGGGATACTGGACATAGACCTGGGCAAACATCCTGCTTTGCTGGCTGGCATACTGTGGGTTTCTCCGGCAGGTGCCCTGGAGGAAAGCCTCACTGCTGGAGAGAAGGGCCCCGCTCCTGTTCCCATCAGCGCGACTCCAGCCCCGGGTCTTCGCCTCTGCAGCAGCAGCGTGTTCCCACAGCCATGCCCAGCTGCCACTCCAAGCTCAGACCCAGCTTCATTCGCACCCAGACACCAGACCAGGGGGGCAGCATCCAACCTCAGAGGCAGCTCCTTCTGGGGTTGCTACCTCCTTGATTTCTTAGTGTTTTCTTTTTGCCCTTTTTAGCTATTAACAGTCCTATCACACTATAAAAATAACTTGCAAGGTTTCTGCCTCCTATTTAGACCATGAGTGATACACACAGAAGGGAAATTTCTGTCTACTGAGGGAGAGCCTCAAGACTATCATTTAAAATCCTTTAGACTCAATAACAGAGGCTCCGCAAGTTCCATTCTCTCTGGGTATTTCCCAGGGGCACTGGGCACCCGTACATCCCATATGTCCATCTTGGGGCCAAGCTGAATCTAAACCAATATTCCACGCCGAGGCCTGGAGTGATTTCTCACTTCAAAATCTAATTCTTTGGACTTCATCCCATTCCGATATTCTTTACCCTAAGTTGAGAAGAATTAAAAATTAACAATCGCATTTTGGTTTTAAACTGAGTTTTGGCAGTGATTAATACCAATTAGAGAAACATTTTTTAATTCTCACCTGAAGATATTTTTCCCATTGCTTTTCAGAGAGAGTGGAAGGGGGAGAGAGAGAGGAAGAGAGGGAGAGGGAGAGGAACATCAACATAAGAGAGACATGTTGATTGGTTGCCTCCCACATGGGCCCCGATAGGGGCCAGGAATCGAGCCTACAACCAAGGTATGTGCCCTTGGCTGGAATCGAACCCAGGACCCTTCAGTTTACTGGCCGATACTCTAACCACTGAGCAAAACCAGCTAGGGCGAGAATATTTTTATAACACAGTTATGTCCATGAACCTGGCAGTGTCTGGACCACCCTGCACACTCTGCTCTGGAATGCACGTAAAACGAAGACCCCTGCATAGAAGGGCAGGATCACCCCGTTCCCCTCATATTGAAGAGGCCACACCCGGTTCTTGCCAATACTTTCCATTTATTACTGCAGTAGACAATTGCTCTGAAAGTGCAATGCTAGACCCCTCCCACTACGGCCTCCGCTCCTCCACTGGCAGATACCTGGAAATTCATTCTTGGAGCATCGTGGACCACAAGCTTCTCTCTGGGTGGAAAATTATTGCCACTGCCAATGTCACAGGGAAAACACAAATACACACAGGAATTGAAGGACAAAGTGAGAAGAGCACTGGAGAGGAGTAGGGGCCAGTTTTGAACGGCAAACTCAGCAGAGGGGTCACGGGAAACAGCCTCCTGTGCAAAGTGGAAAGAGACTCCCCTTCTTCCAGCAGCAACGGCCACATTTGTCAGGTGCACCCTTCCCCGTGGTTCTAGAACAGGTGATACCATAACCACCATGTCACATCTAAGCACAGCAGAGGCCGATGGAGTCAGAAGTGAAAAGACCTCTCAAGCCAGGCTGGAGAGTGGGTGGTGTGGATAAACTGACTCTTCAAGCTCCCACTCAAAGCTGTTAGGTAGAGTACCTGGAGCACTGAGGGTAAGATGCTGCCCAACAGAAATAAATTCTCTGGTTCTACCCAGTGTAGGTTTGGCCTATTTTCAACGGAGAAAAGTAACTTTCAAATACTGCAGTAACAAAGAGGAAGGGGAGACATGAGCAGCTCTGGAAAACATGAGAGTAAAAAATCTGAACAAATGAGATCCCCCCAAAAAGCAACATGAATATGGACACTACACCTCAGCACTGGGCAAGACAAAATCCTCACTCGTGAACACGTTGTGCACACACGCGCCCACTGTAGTCAGGCAGATGCCCAAAGAAGGGCAAATCCAAGTCTGCTGTCTTTGGAATTTCCATGGCAACTCTTGAGTTTAGGCAGAAGTGAAGACGTCCCCGGGTCTGCACAGATCTCAGGAGGCAGCCTTCACTCCCCGTTTTCGCCAATGTCGCTCCTATGTTTGTTTGCCTGAGCCCTTCACAACTGTCTGGGCACTAGAACCTATTCTTCATATTCCTGGAGTTTAAATCACCGCTAGATCTTCCTATCTGATCTAAACTTCACCTATAACAGAAGCACCTCCCTTGGCCCCTGTACTCTGCTCTTTTAGGAAAAGCATCCCAGGACAGTGGTGGTTAGAGGGTGTTCAGGAGTTGGAAAGCAGGATGAGAGTAATAGAAATACGATAAGGAAATGCCTGTTACTCTCAAACAACTTCTCTGAGACCCGTGGCTAAGGCGCCCTGGCTCGCAGGATAGGTTTTAGGAGAGACCTTAATTTAAGGTACTTCGATCTCTGCTCACAAAAGCCTAGTAAGACAGAGCTCCTTGGAGGTTGCTGGAGGGCTGGCACTCAGTACTCATTTCAATCCTAGGTGCTCTGCAACCTCTCTGACCACAGTCCTTCTGAGTTAAGACCACCAGCTCTCTGATGCACGCTTGATCATTTTTAAAGCGTGCCTGCAGTAGCCTAACACATATACGAGGTGACAAGGACTGAAAGCAGGGCTACAACCACTGCAGACAGGCACAGCCATGCAGAGAAAGCCACCCATCATGGTCACCTTCTCTTCAGATGTTCCAGTTTCAGGATCACAGGACTTACCATACTGTTAATACCTGGCAATGACCAGCTCTTGCTTCCCTTCCTCAAAGAGGGGTGTGCAAGAACCCGCAGAAACAGGCTGGACACACAGTTTCAGACACTGCCCTCATCTCCAAATCCCATACTCGGAACCTCTGCTGGAATCCTGCCCTAACAAACCGGATGCCATGCCAGTTTAATTTAGAGTCACACGTTCTGAGCCGCCTCGGGGAAGCAGTGGCCGTCTGGATTACAGTTCTAAGTGCAGCAGTGCCTAAGAAGGGAAGAGCCCCACACAAGGGACGACTGGAGGGCATAGGCAGGAGACAATGCAAAATCAGTAACACATTTTCAGGTGGTGGGCTTGGGGGAAGAGGGGAGTGAAATAAACAAAATGTCCCAATAATTTAATGGCAAAGAACCCTTCAAACATTTACAGCTGTCCCGGGACCTCCAACAAAAAGTGTTTCCTGGATGCACAGACATTCGTAATACTGACAAGTCTCAGTGAACAGCTCTGGCTGGTACATGTGGTCGCGACGCCCTTCGTACAGCAGAGAGGAGCACAACAGAGGCCCAAGAGGCATCTGGACAGCACACAGCAGAACGAAAGGCTAGACTTCCCCCCACAGAAACCCATTTAAAAAAAGTGTGTCTATTACAAAGTCACGTTTGCCATCTTTCCACCTTATAAAGTCAGCGATGCTGGAGGGTGTCTAGCGGGATCCATCCTCCAGGAATGAGTGCAAAAGGGACGTCCCTTCAGTGAGCAGATGGAAGGACCAGCTGAAGACCTCCCATAATTTCGGACACACACACACATACAGAAAGGGATTATTGCCAGCTTGTGTACTTTCACAATGTGATTTTTGTATTTCGAAAGCTTGAATTGTCCCTGAAAGAAAAAATGGAGAAAATACAGCATTCAATACACAGGTCATCTATAGGCAACACACACACACAGGGGAGACTGAGCTAAGCACTCGGGGGCCCTCGTGACCGTGACACAGCCCAGGACCCTCCTTCCTTACTAATCTAATGCCAGCACAGCAACCAGCCTCCCAAGTCCCTTCAAACATCCAGCTTGACTGTTAGCAATAGCAAAGGATTAGAACCCACCAAATGCACATCCACCTGGCAATGACCAGTTCTTGACCTAGTTAATATTAATGTCATAGCACATTCATACAATGGACACTGTGTAGCTTAAAAACACAAGGAAGCTCAATACTAATATGGAAAGATCTCCAAGAGAAACGGCTAAGTCAGTGCAGAACAGTGTGTGCACACAGTATGCTATCTTTTGTGCAAGCAGGGCTGGGGGAACAAAGGCCATACATAGTTCATGTTCATGTGTATACATGGAAAGAAACTGTAAGGCTCCACAAGGAACCAACAACAGTGGTGACCTGGGGCGGGGGAAGGGACACAGTGGAAACTGGGCAGACGGAGTCAGAGTGGGAGGGAAACCTCTCTTTCTTATACACACACATACTTAAAAAAACAAAAAAACAAAACAAAACTGAACCATGTGATTGTATTATGTATTTTAAAAAAAAATCAACCAACCCACCAACAAAACCCGCACAAGGCTCAAAACTTATAGCAGCTTAAAAGGGATATTCTAAGAGGTGAAATCTGGGTACCCTTCACTTTAGAAACTTAGCTATAATTCTTGAAAGAGAAGCCTGCGCGCGCGTGCGTGTGTGTGTGTGTGTGTGTGTTACTGACTGTAAGATGTGTCCTGTTAGTTGCCTTCTATTGGCTGCCAACCGGTTTAGCCACCCACTAGTACCATCCGTGTTCCCACTAGAAATCCAATGACGTCTCAGCAGTTCATGTCACCATTTGAATCCCAAAACCTAAGGGTTGGAAGGGGCCTTAAAGGTCACCTTACCTTACCTACTGCTGTGGCCAGTGCTTAAGATTTCAATTTGTCTGAAATCATGAAACATTAACCTGATTTTGAAGTCATCATTTCCCTTAAATTTTAATGGAACCTTCTAGAAACTTTGGCTTTAACGGGCCTATCTTTTTTTAAAATATATTTTTATTGATTTCAGAGAGAGGAACAGAGAGGAAGAGAGAGAGATAGAAGCATCAATGATGAGAGAATCATTGATCAGCTGCCTCCTGTATGCCCCCTGCTGGGGATCGAGCCTGCAACCGAGGCATGCACCCTGACCAGGAAATCGAACTGTGATCTCCCGGATCCTATGTTGATGCTCAACTGCTGAGCCACGTCCACCCGGGCTAATGGCCTATCTTAAAATGATTACAACTGATTGGGCATAGGGCAATGAGTGCAGATGAAAGAATATGCTCGGCCCAGCCAGAGAGCAGTTTCCTCCTGCTCTCCGCAAACAGGCTCCCCACAACGCATACCCACCCCCGTGCTGGAGGCAGGCAGGCTGACGGTGAACAATAGCCCTCACTACACAGAGAGCATGGCTGCAGACAAGTACACGGATGGACAGGAAACTGGAGCTGGGGTGGGCAAACTCTGCCTAGGAAGAAACTGGTATTATCTCAAAAGCCTGCTGGTGTTTTTGTAACTGACATGCGTGACCACGTGGCTCATTTATCAATGGCTACTGAGCATTTCAATGATTTCCGTCTAAGGGGTTGAAGGCTTAACACACAGAGAACTTAGTGGGGTGAGCATCTTTTTTAAAAGGCCTTTCAAAAGGACAGACCCCACTGAGGTGCCACAAGTAGGTAGCAAAGGGCAAGGAATGACCTGATCCTAAGACAGAAAAGCAAGCATAACTGACACGTGTGTGGCTACTTCTGAGCCCCCTTAGGGACGATGTGCTGTGACACTGAGTCTACCAGACAGAGGACACCCATAACAAAGGAGTGGTCAGGAAGGGATGGTTTGTTCTGTTCCATCTCTTCCTTTTGATGCCACCTCTATTCCCACTGAGCAACTGGATGACAAAAGTCAATCAGCAGGGAGAAAGAAGATGAGTGACTAGAAAGGCGGAGGTGTGAGAGCAGAATCAGAGAATCTCCCAGCTATGGGGGAATGATCTACCTTGGTGTAAGAGAGATGGCAGACGAAGGTCTGGACAAGCCCTTTCAGCTGGTTAGTGATGTAAAGAGCATTTTCAGGATGCCACCACCATAAGTAGGTTCTCATCTTTTGGAAGAATTCCTGTACTGTGCTGGGGTTGGGCCAGGAACAAATTCTTCTTTCTGTGGCAGGTGAACTGAAGGGCTCTATAACAATTTCCCACTTAGGTATTTAATATTTGTTCTAATTATTTCTATTGTCATACATCTCTTCAGAGTCAGGAGACCTAAGAAGTCACAATCATTCCAAGGTCTGTTTGTAAAATGGAAAAGGGGAGGAGGAGAGTAAAGGAGCCAAGAGAATCAGCTGTTTTTACAGAGTTTGATACAAAGAAACAGAAAGAGCAACAGGGTGGGTAACAGGCTCCTGACAATGACAGGCTGGTGGCAGATGGTGGCTTGGGTCCAGCCTTTCTAAAACAAGTAGGTGGAGAACAGCTTGGTGCCAAATTTAGTCTGAGGAATGTGTCCATCTTGAACTAGCTGGGAACTGATCTGTTCTGTCCCTCAACCCGGCTGCAGTGCAGAGATTAGGAGACAGGGAAGGGGAGAATGGAGACAGGAAGTGGCAGAGGCCACAGGTGACTTTTGTTTTTTTATAAAAGGATGGGCTTCTGTTCTTTTAAAAGACAACTAAAATTTAGAAAATCTGGAGTGAGCTCCTGAAAGCCCCTTCATCCACCTAGCAATGCTGGGATGGTGCATAGGCCATCGTGAAGGTTTTATTGTTTTTCATACAAAAGATCTTTTAGAAAGAATTAAGAAAAATTTACAGTCTCATCTGTGAATTAATGTAAAAGTACTGATTTAAAGGAGCTTTCAGACACTGACTTCCACTCTATCTTAACTCATTCCCGAAGATTTTTACATACCAGGGCACAGGACACGGGAGCCAAAAGACCTACAATGCCAGACGGACTCTTTCTCTACTGGATGCCTCTCTATCCTGATGACAGGGCCTCAGAAATAGCAGAACTCCATCAAATTGGCTTCTAACTTCACATTCCCAGGCAACTTGGGGAAAACTGCGCCCAAACACTCCAAAACAGCTTTCCAACCTACTCCGCCTCAAAATGATCACTTTGTTGTGCTTCTAGAAAAATGGACAAGTACAATTTCTGGAAAGAAGAGCTAAGGTAGTCCACTCCTGAGGGTGGGCCACGGGGGAGCAGGGTGGTCAGTTCCTCAGAAGAATGCCCCCTGCTCTTATAGAAGCCTGTCCTTGTGCTGGGGACCAGCAGGGGCATCAGAGTGATTCTGGTCCTCCAGGGAAAGCTGGGGGCCACAGAGGAGGAGCCCCACCTAAGTATCTGCTCCGACGGGGGCTCTGAGAATAGTTATAAACAGGCCCACAGGCTTAAGTATCCATGCTCTTCAGGGGAACATTCCCTGGCTATCAGCTGTCCATCCCAGGCCAGTTCTGGCCCTCTCCTCTCACCTTCCTGCATATTAAATAAAACTGCAAACCTCCTAGGTGCAGTGGGGCCAATTTCAATGTCTAATCTCCCACTGAGTAGCCACACCAACTTCATTCCCCCAAAATACAGATCACTGCTCTGTGCCTCTGACTCAGACACAGAAGTAACCAGAGCCCTCTCCTAGCAGCTACCTGGAACTTCTAGTGAAACCATGGTTGAGAGGGCAATACTTATCTCTAATGGGGGTCAAAAACAGTCCTGAAATATTAGCAGCCATATATAATGGCAAAAATATCAGATAAACAGGAGAAGTACTGCAGCTCAATAAGAGTTATTTAAATAACAGTTCCTATTCCTTCACAGAGCATGATCTACTCAGGGGGACGCACAGAGAAAACGCAAGGCTGAATGTCAGGGCATCTGAAATGTCAGCTCCGACAACATGAGCTGGGTGTGTGCATCTTCTGGGAGTACCTCCTTCAAGGTTAAATCAATAGAGATGAAATATGAAGATGACCTTTTTCAAGTCTGTTAAGACAATGGAGAGAGCTGGGTTTTTTGTTTAGACCAATACTCCTCTCAGATGCCCAAGTCTGTGCTTGGAGGAGCAGAAGTGCGCCCTTCATCTGCCCATAAAAAATGCCAGGGGTGGGGGGAAAAGGAGAACACAGAGTCTACAAAATAGCAATCATGCACAGACAGGACTTTTCGAAGCAATTCTGATTTTTTTCTGGGGGATTTAGTGTTAGCTAAGGGGAGAGGAAACAATTTTAAGTTTTCTTTCATTCTGACTATTCTGATTTCATATTAAAGCTTTTTTTCATGGAACCCAAGATGCTACTGACTTTTAAAGGTATCATCATTTTATGTACTTTAAGAAGTAAACACTGCCAATTAAACTTTGACAAAAATCTTTCTTGTCACGTTCACTGTAAGCATTCTAATTTTAGGGATATTAAAAGCAAAAAAAAGGAAATCTCAGAAATAATTAAATATGATAGTATTATTAAAACAATTCCATTATAGCACCAGGCCTCTGGAAATTAAACTTAATTTACTTTAACCATCCATTGTACAGCCTGCAAATCGATGCATGTAATCGTACAGCTGACATGTTTCCATCCCGCCTGTGTATCAGCAGCCACTTCAGAATTCTATGTTGACTACATTTTACAGAGCAGCCTTTTAAACTTCAATTTTAATAATCTAGCATATCATCTAAAATTGAATTTATAATATGGGAATTAACGATTAAAAAAGAGCTATGAGTGGCATCATGCATGTGCTCAGGGAGTTGTGGGGCTCTTCCTCTACCCCCAGAGTCCTCAGACCCCTGGCCCCTGCTTCCGCCCCTCAGTGTCTCCTCTTCTAGCCCATCTGCAGGATGCAGTCTCCTCTTCTTGAAAAAGCCTCACTTCCCTCCTGGGAAGGTGGAGTTCTAAAGCAGCTACTACAAGTGGCGTGTTCTGTTCCACTCCTAGAAATCCTCTATTTCCTAGGAATAGTGGGGGGGTTGCGTTGGGGGGTCCTGGGAAACTGCTCAGGGTCCTATCCTATCCAGTCCTCTCATCCTGAATGAAAGCACCCAACTTCCTCTGCTACAGCAGCAGATGTGAACCTGGCCCTCTCCTAACTGAAATACAGATGCTCTCCCAGTGGATGCTCAAGCTGGCCCAGCCTTTGACAGCCCAGGGCCTCCCCCTGCGGGGACATATGCAATGGTCCAGTTATGGAGCCCAGCATCTGCCCAGCCCTTTCACTGCGGAAACCTCAAGTTCTACCACTGGTTCCTCACAACTGACAACCACCACCAGCAAGCAAGACATACCTCTTACCTACCCCATGGCAGCACAGGACACTGCCAGATGGCTTAAAATGGCCATGTCTGGGCAAAAGAAACAGGATTGTGGCACATTTATAATCATGACACACTGGCATCAGAAGAGATCTGAGACACCTCAGTCTGTGGAACCTCACTTCCCAAATGAGAAAACGGAGGTACAATGAGGTTAAGCAGCCCTCAGGGTCCACATGTCTGGACCCGGTGTTTTCTGAGACTGACAGAGAGGCTGGAGCTGACTCCATGCTGGCAGAACAAGGTTGGGCAGGTGGGGAGGGCACAGCCCCTGGGGAAGAGGGTCCTATGGCTGAGAGGTACATCACAAGGTTACAGAGAAGATAGACAAGGCCCTACCCTGAGTGTGAGAGACAGAGGGGAGCGTCCGATCAGCGGCCGCTGCTGTTCACCAGGCCATGAAACTCCTCCCAGGCCCTGGCAAACCAGAGACAAAAAACACAATAGCACATTCAGATCAAAAGCTTTTTAACAAAGAGAGAGCAGACACATAACCCCACATCCCATTTCAAATACCCTCAAGATCGAGGGCAGCCCATGGATACCTGAGAGCACAGCAGTGAGGTTTCCCACCTGGACTTGCCCTCAGATCCGCAGTGATGGCCAGCGCATTTAGGGACAGCTGGCACTTGTCCCGCCTGCTCCATGGCGAACGCTGGCCCTCACTACTCCTGCGAGGCTTTGTATCCACTCCTTCAACAAGTCTACAAGAGGCCAATGAGGTCAGAGCCAAGCTCAACTATCACGGGAGACACCTCGTCCCCGGAGCACAGGGCAGCAGTGGGAGGTGAGGACAGGTGGCAGAAACTATCTTTCTCATTGGGCCTCACCTTGAGGGTAACAGCAGGTACCCAACAGCATTATGATGTCTAAAGATACAATGGGGAAACTATATACCACTTTCCATTTTTGCATTTCCAACCTTCTGACCCATCTAACCTCAAACCCCAAATTTGTACCAGATTGTTTCTGCATATACCCACGTAACTATCTTAAAATTTAAGCTGTGTAGGTCACAGGTCAAAGTTTCCAGGACAACTCCCACGCTGATTAACTGAATTCAGAAATGGGGCTTACGAGGTAAGAATGTGGCTGAGGGCTAGGGCTCTCAGGGTGGTGCTCAGCAAAGAAGAGGCCCTTGGTGACTGCTGGCCCGAAACAGGAGGAACTCAGAGTCCCTACGCACCCAGAAGCCCTCCCACCTCAAGCTTTCTCAGAGGAATGGATGCCCTACCTTTTGCCTGGGCCACTTTTCAGCCCTACTAGGGACAAATGTTTGGTTCCCCTAGGAATGATATGAAACGGGTCATTTGGGGCTTCTAAATCCAAAATTCCTTTTGGTCAATTATTCCATTCTTGGTTTACAGGGGTGATAATACCCAGGGTGACAACATACTGTGTCGCTCACTACCGGTAATATGTCCAGTAAAATATACTTTTTACCAGGCCTTCTACAGGTAGCTTTTCTTCTGCTGCTGCTTTTTTAAATAGGGGGGTATGAAACACAGACCTGGCACAACAAATTCATTCTTCCAGGCACTATTTATACATGTTTCATCAGTATTCTCCCCTTTTGAAAAGGGGCATTAAGTTCATGATCTACTTCTTAGAATAAGAGGCTGATGTGCACTTACTTAATGGTTCTTCAGAAAATATTACCAAAGCTACAGACAAGTGCTAACTGAACTGAAGAAAAATGTGAGATGGCCAAACAAGTGTGCCAGGCTCTGTCGGTTCAAACAATTTCCACAGCGACACCTGCTCCACAGCCCATCCTGGTGACGGAAATGTGATGACGAACGTTGAGTCCATGAGTGACGTCAGAAGGCCATTTCACTCTTCACCCCAAATTAAGACAAGGGCAAAGCAAAACCTGGTGCCTGGGCAATGACCCAGGAAACCCCTCTCATTTTAACAGTGAGATTTAAATTTTATTTTAGGCAACTTAAATGCCCTCAAGAAATTACATGGTTGTACTGAAGCTTCATCTCATTTATCCTTTTGTTTCCAGAAAGGCCTACACTAGTCCAAACAGAGCGATTCCGTATCAAGAACCTAAGATGTATAGATTACACAGATCCCCTCTAACCCATTCCCATATTAAACTGCCCTCCCATTTTCTCCAGAAGTATCTTCCTCACATGTTAAACCTCAACATGAAGAATCTGGGCAAAGAAATTTCCTCACATGGACTCAGTGGAAATAACATAGTTGGTCGTGGTCACTGGTACAATGTAGGCCAGTGCTTGGCTAAGAGCAGATCACCTGCCTAAAGCCAGGTGCGAACATTCTAGCTCTTTTCCATCTGGCATCCCAGGCATATTAGGTAATATTAGAACTTGCTTCTTTTAAAGGTAAAAAAAGAACAAGTTAAATGTTTAAAGTGCCATATGAATGAAGCTTCTAAAAAAAATTACGGAGATTAATATACCCTATAGGGAATTCTGAACAAATTCAAATGATAGTCAACAGAGTCCTTTAAAGACCACTCTTGTTTCAGCTCACTTACCAGAAAGCAAACTGAGAGCAGAAGTCCACTTCTGTGTAATTTGGAACTTGCCTCACCCCCACCTGAAGCCTGTTCACAGCCTTGCACTCAGCTGGCCCTCAATCCTCACGGACAAGCTCAGCCTCCTGCTAGCCTGGGCATTCTCTACTTTGAAGGTCAGTAGGGAGTACCTTTCATAAACCAGGCCAGCAGTTACGCTGGTGTGACCCAGTGCCACTGGGCTATGATTTAGTCACAACAGAAGGGAGGGTTGGTCCTTGCCTACAAAGTTCAATGGTTAAATAAAATGAAATCTAGACAAGGTTAAGGAAATTCCCCACAATTTAACCCATTTCTCCTTTAGAATAAAGAAATAAAGAGAAGTCACCTACCCTCAACTTTCTCTGCAGAGGGGTGTGGTCACTTCTCTGAACCACGTGGCCCAAAGTGAAGCTGGCCCTGTCTTCCCCTCTCCCATTGGGCCAGATGCACAAAGGGATTCAATGGGACTATTCCAAAGAGTTATTTCCTCACAAAAGACAGTGCCGCTTTATATGGCTGTGCCCAGTTTTATCCTGGGGGTCCCATGATTCTGGGTTTTAAATCTGTGTTAGATTTCTTCTCAAAACGGAAGGTACAGTGAGTCACCTGATGCCTACAAGGACCCAAAGCTATAAAACCTCAACTGCAATTGGCCTCATTAAAAGGAGCCATGAACCTGAACGAACACTCCATCTAATAAGCTTCTCATTTCTTAATGGGGCCTGCTGTTGGCAACACAAGGGTAGGAGGCAGCAGGCAGGCGTCCCCTCTGCAGCAAAGCAGCCCTGGCATTGTGTGCAGCAGTGTGTGCCTCTCAGCTCACCTAGGAGTGCAGCAGGAAAAGGCCATGAGCAGTGTGATTAGGGGAAGGCTGGAAAAACAAACAGCTGAAAAGGGGCATTGGAAACACAGCAAGGTGGAAGTACACTTGACTAAAAATCTAGGCCACTCCTAAAAAAGTCCCCAGAACACTTGGGAGCATTCTCCAGAATACTCTTTTCCTTCATTTCCTTGAATTCTCAAGTCCCAGCAGCTGCTGTTCCTTGGCTCAAAATGAGCCATCCCTGTGCAAGAGCCACAGGAAGGGAGCAAAGCAGACCAGTTCTGACTTCTGTTCACACGTGACAAGGATCAGGGGGCTCAAGGTCAGTTTGGTGCTTTCTGATCAACTCTTACTCAGGAAGGGGATGTCAAGCTCATCCCCTGGACCAGTTATATCAGCGGAAATTCAGGTCAATACAGGAACATAACAGTGGAAGGCAAGAGGGAAAAGACCATAAAAGGTAATTCTTTGACAAATGCTGAAAACAGAGAATAGGCATTTCCACATACCGACACATCTCTCATTTTCCAGGGACTTCAACCAATTTTGTATATGCAATAAACAAAGAAGCAATGATACAAACACCTCCAGAAGGCTGGGCCCAGGTGCTGTCCCAGTGTGTGTTCTGTGGGATCCCGGGCTACGTGGAGATGAGGGTCAGGATGGTACAAGGACAGGTGTGGCTGCCAGGATGGAAGAGCCACTTTGGAGGCCTCCACATTATGCCCACAGCCACCTTCACAGATGCCATCAGGCAACCTGACCCAGTGTCTGCAAAAATGTTTATTTTTGGTTTTGGTGGTAGCTCCCAAGAAAGCCTGAAGTAACATGAGGCTTGCTGCAATTGTACATGCAGGTTAGGGCCTGCAGGTCAAGCTGCAGGTCACACAAGCCAAGCCACAAAGCAGGTGAGGGGCTGGCACGTGCTGCGGTCAGATACCCTAAGGAGCAGACTCACGGGGGATGAAGATGCTTCCCCACCCCCAATCCTGAGGCACAGTGACCCTGGGAGAAAGGGAAGGGCTAGAGCCGAGACCTTGCAAGCAGAGCGAGCTCAAAGAGGAGGACGACCTGGCTCTGAAGGGAAAGCGCAAGGGAGAGACTGGCAAAGAGTTTGTGGCTCGGGCAGCTCTAGCAGTGAGAAAACCCCATTAACATCAAGCAAGGAAGCTATATACGTACAGCCACACACAGACGGAAGCAGGACTTTACCTCCAAGCAAGAGATTTCTTTGAAGTAAAGGCAAATGAAGTCAGCGAAGCAAAGGCAAGGATCCCCCTTTCCAACCTTAAGGACTCTCAAGCTGAGTTCTACATGAGAAATCACTCTGTTCCTGTTACTCAGCGTGACTAGATGGAGACTAAAATTCAAGCACCAGAAATGGGGTCTCCTGTTGAGAGGTAGATGTCACCTCATTATGTCAGACTCAGCAGAAGTGGAACAAATACCACGTGACACTGTACAATGGCTTATGGAAATGAGGCTGCATTCATTCCCCCGATGGCCCTCCATGGAGAAGTCTGTGCCATTCCTTAACATGGTGACAGTCAGTCTGAAAGGCCACTTCTTTGATGCGCCATAAAGAGCAAGAGCATGAGACAAGCTAGTTTAGCACCATTTATTAAGTGATCTCAGCTGTTGTCGTAGCTGCTGCGTGTCAGCCTGTTCTTAGAACATAAAATGCTCTTCCAATTCCTCTTGTCCAGGACAGAAGGATCTTCCAGGTAGCACGCCAACAGAACAAGAGGCTCCGATGATGCCAGCTTCGATGATGGTGCCATCCAGAGAGGGAGAGGGTCATGGCACATTCAACCGCGGCTTCCAGAGGTTTTGAAAAAGGAGCCTTTGGGGGCCCAGCCTGCCTGGCATTCTAGTGGAAGTGCAAAAGGTTGGCACATTGGGAGAGGAAAGAGAGGGAGGCGCAGGGAAAGTAGCATCTGGGTGTCAAGGAGGGTTTTCTGGTCCCTGTGGCTCCAGGGCTGGAGTACTAGGCAGACCTCTGGATAAAGTAGCGAGCAGTAGACTAAGGCAGAAAGCCCGCAGGCTCTCCTAGACTAAGGACTGAACACATTTCTACAAAAGTCAGGAAGAACTGCCTCAGGGTATTAGAGGGAGAACAGTGGAGAGGGAGAGTTGAAAAATACCTCTTTCCCTTTCCTATCCAGGTGAAAAGCTTGCTTTTGGGGGTCTGGGGGGTGTTTTGGGAACCTTGAATGTAAGAGCCCAGAAAAAGCATATGTGGATCTCTCCAGCCTAGACTGAGTCTGGCTGGAGGGCAGAAACTACTCTACTCCAGAACAAAGAACAGAAAAAATGTACTTAGAGAAAACAATGCTAACATAGGGCTGCTAAGTCAAGCAACCAGGGCCAAGGCCATAGAACAACTCTTGGTGGCTGTGATGAGCCACACCCAGCCATTTGATTATGGACCAACTCCTACGGCAGTGTTCCCAGTTAAAAACTGGCCCTCAGCTGGTTTTAGCTAACTCCACCCACATTGTCTGTGGATGCATGGGAAAAAGACTCCCAGTCTGTCTCCTGGACACCATCATTGGGCTCATTACTGGTCTTTAATAAGAATAACATTATGATGATATCATTTCAAACGATGATGATGATTGCAATAATAGTACTTGGCCCTGTAAGAGCAGTCTCCATCTGAGGACCTCCCATTACAAAGATTCAATCAGCCTCCCGACAATCCCTTAGGTGCAGTATTGTCATCCCCATCTTACAGATGGGAAACTTGAAGCAGAGTGGCAGAGACTTGCCAAAGGCACACACGGATGCTGGAGTCAAAGGAGAGAACTGACCCTAAAAGTCCCTGCTCCTAGCTGGCTAGCTCTCCGTCCAGCTCTGAGAAAATCTAACAGCCACTCCCCACAACTTCTCCACAGTAACCTGAACTTATTTCTGACATTCAATCACTGAAGGAGCAGCCCTAACCAGTGATTCTGTGTGGATGTCCGGCTCCACTGCCCTAAGTCCTAGGGAGAGCGCAAAGAAAGCCTATTTCCTGTTGGCATTTGTGCTTCTCTTAGATTCTATTCTCATCAAAACTCTATGCTGCTGCTTCTAGGATTTCAGCTCTATACACAAGGAAATGGAGTCACATTCCTGATAAGAAGTTAATTTCCCAGGACAAAGAAACAGACTGAAGCTAATAGGTTAAAAAGACATGCAAAAGTGGGGAAGGAGCAGACAGGGAGGACCCTCTTGTTCAGTGAAATTAATTTTAAAAACGGCAAGAAGAGCACGTTGTCTTTCACTCTGAGACAGTGATTAGCCAATGAAAGACAAGATAGCCTGTGGAAATGAAGCAAGCCCCGGCACCGCCACCGGGATTCTGCAGAGGGCTCTCTTTTATTCAGCGAGGTGTGCAGGAGCCTCGCCAGCAAAGAGCTGCTGCAAGTGGCCAGAAGCACTAGAGGGGAGGACTGGTCTGTCCCTTCTCCACAAGTCAGCCTCCTGTATGACCATATCCCTCTGGACCCAACTAAGACCCTAGTTCCGCTAAGGTTAGGGAGATGCACCCCCCAGCCCCCCCAGCACGTACTTGATGCTGTCGGTGTGGGTTTTGTACTCCATAATGGTGTTGGGAGGTAGGTTAAGCACTCGCCGAAGCGTGTCCCGGATTCGGGCTGTGGTTGCCTGGTCGCTGGCAGTCTTATTCCATATTGAAATAATGTCCTCCTACAGGAGGAACAGAGCGACTCATCAAAGCAAACCGGAGGCAGTGAGGAGAGCAGAGACCACACACGAAACCAGACCTGCCCACGGGAGGCTTACCTGAAAACGGACAGAGACCACAGCCCCACAGATCTCCTCCCCAACCATGAACTGTTCCCCCAACATGGCCAGGATGAGATTCTCCCAGCAACGGGATGCCAAGCCCTTCCGCAGCCGAATAATCCACTTGCCACCATTTTTATTGGCATCATCCTATAAAAAGACAGAAAGCATTAAAGTTACAATATGGTTTCACAGCTCTTTTTTTCTTTTGCACAAACACTAAGAGGTCTTGCCACTTTCTAATTATTCAACTTTATAGGAAAAATGGTGGGAGAGAAGAGACAGAAAAGAAAGAAAAGCAAGGTACAGATCCTTATACAGGACATTACAAAAAGTGACTAAATAGACCCTTTAAAAAGAATCCTGCCCTGGCTGGGTGGCTCACTTGGTTGGAGCGTCATCCCATACACCAAAAGGTTGTGGGTTCGATCCTCAGTTGGGGCATGTACGGGAGGTGACTGATGTTTCTCTCTCACACAGATGTTTCTCTCCCTCCCCCCTATTTCCTCTCTCTCTAAAATCAATAAAACCATATCCTCAGGTGAGAATTAAAAAAAAATCCTCTTTTTTGAAACTGCTTTAGGAATCAAAATGAAATGATGTCAGATTTTAAACACAGGTCATTCCTCACTTTGTTTGCTAAGAGGTTACCAGGTGTCACCATATCCCAAATACACAGACAGGAAGCCACAGTCTCTCCTAGGCCCAATCTAGTTGAGGAGACAGACACGAACATTAATTACAGCAGTATAATCTGTCAAGCACTGCTATATCAGAGATATGTATAGTAAGTTAAAGAATGAGACCTCCAGAAACACTCAAATAGAGGAAACATTTAAGCTGGGTCTTGAGGGACCCAGGAGTTAGCCAGGTAGGGCAGGTGAAAGGGCTGCAGGCACTGGGAAGAGCATGTCTGTGCACAGACTCTGAGTGTGAGATGGGAGAGGCAAAGAAAGGTCCAGCAGCACCGAAGGGAAGGTTTAGAGATGAGGGGAGACAGGCCTGAGAGATCCTGTGCGTAATGGAAAGCTGCATAACATTTTTAATTTGGGGGGGGAAGGGGGTATGGTCACATTTGTCTTCCAGAAAAATACTGTTGCATCAGAACAAAAGATGGATTTCAGCAAAGCAAGATCATAAATAAAGCTCAGCTCTGGGTATCAGAGCATGTAAGCTTGTTTTTTACCCACTTTAATCATAAGTATACTATGGTAATATTCTACATACACAGCCAGTTCCATGGCAATAGGGTAATTAAAAAACACACACAAAAAACACCCATCCTTTAATGTTGTTACAATACCATTTTAGTGCTGAAACAATCTTTCAAAGCCACCCAGCACCACCCCACCTAGACAAGCAATGTACCAGTGTCTTTTCCTGGAGGTCCCAGCTCTAAAGATGTACCAAACAGTGATGCAGTTTTAAGAGAAGGCTTTAAAGTACTTTTAACCTTGGCACGACTACTCCCCCACCCCAATACCAACTTGCTCAGAATAGCAGTCTGAGGCCCTCAGTCCTCACCTCCCACATGGGTTTAATTCCTTCTTTGAAGAGATGGAAGTCACTGTGGCCTGTCAGGTCCCCAGGACGTACCATGTGGCTGTAAAACCTCCAGAACTGCTCCACCTGTGAAGAGAGGGCCCCAGAGTAGAGAAGGTTTGACTTTTCTTTTTCTTTGATTGAATGCAAGACTTATCTAAGAGAAAAGCATAAACATGGAAGACACACTGTTACAGGCTATACTTTGGAAGGATACATTTTCATCTGGAGGACTGTGTGGGAGGAAAGGCATATTAGATGAAAGCATATGGTATAGCTGAATAAAAGAAAAATGTAATATTGTTGATACAAGAACCAACTCTTTAGTGAGAAATGCCAGCCGCAGCCAGGGAGCCTGAGCTGGGAAATCAGGCGAATCAACATTCACCCTCCCACAGAGGCCCCAAGGTAACCATGACATGCTGTGAGGACCTCATTTCACACAATGGAAACCCTTCAGTCCTGACTTATAGTAAGTGCCCCATAACCGAAGTCTGAATGTATTTTTTTAGAATCAAATCACCTCTTGATCAAAGACTGTTTACTCAAATATAGCATTAGCTATAATGAAATACATTTTAGGTCTGTTTCATTACTGAGCACAGTGATAGAACCCCACACCATGGCGCCTTTCTAAGCCAGGACAGTCCAAAACCAAGCAGGATTAGCCTCTCCTACTTACGGTTTAAATCCCTCTTCTTCATATATGTGTGTGTGTGTGTGTGTATTTTTTATTGCATTTTACATTTGATATTATTTTGTATTAGTTTCAGGTGTACAGCATAGTGGTTAGACAATCATGTACTTTACAAAGTGATCCCCCAGATATTTTCAGTACCCACCTGGCACCTTAGTTATTACAGTTTTACTGACTATATTCCCTATGCTGTACTTCACACCCCACAACTATTTTGTAACAACCAATTAGTACTTCATCCCTTCACCCTTTTCACCCAGCTCCCAACCCCCTCCCCTCTGACAGCCATCAGGCTGTTCTGTTAAGTCCCTCTTCTTAGCTGCAGCATTTGTTTCTGCTGGCCCCGTCACAGTGCCATCAGGAAAGCAGACACGCTTCTCTACCCACAGAAGCTCGCTTACACTCAACGTGCTGGTCCTTGTCCACGCCCTGGCGCCCTGGCACTTACTTCCCTACTCCTCTGTGACTCACAGAGGACACCTGCAAAGCACTGGCCAGGGAAGAGGCACACTTCAGGAGGAAAGAGAAGATGTGGAATCGTCTGGAGAGAAACAGCTGGTATTTGCCAACACACTGCCCAGGAGGCTCTAAACAAACATACAGCAAGACACCAGCATTGTGTAGTTGAAAATAGGTATTGAGTACACAGAGATTCGGGTCAGATTTCTAGATCTGGAGAGCAACTGGGGAGAAAGAGACCTTACACTGTGTGAAACGGCTGTCCCATCAGTTCCTCTACAGAAAAGGAACAGAGGCAGTGTCTTATGTTACAAAGAAGTTAGGAATGAGTGTCATTTGTAGGACTTTAATGCAGTGTCTCATCTCAGTAACTGCTATGCTTAACTGTATAAGGGATAGTAAGTGCTCAATATGTATACAATGAACAATAATCTTTCTCCACCAGAACATGGCGGAAAGAAAGCACACTCAGTAGAAACTGTGGCTCACGGTGTATTAGGAATTAGAGAAGGGCTGTGGGGAAGAAAGGTGCAAAAACCATCCTCAATTCCTCAATTAAGCATTGCTTTTTTTTTTTAATCCTTACCAGAGGATATTTTTCCCATTGCTTTTCAGAGAGAGTAGAAGGGAGAGAGAGAAACAGATGTGAAAGAGACACATCGATTGGTTGCCTCCCACACACACCCCAACCAGGGCTGGGGATCAAGCATGCTACCCAGGTACAAATCGAACCTGGACCCTTTAGTCCACGGGTCAATGCTCTAACCACTGAGCCAAACCAACTAGGGCAGCATTGCTTTTTTTAGAGTTGGTGAGTCTTTTTATTTTTATTAATTTTTTAGAGAGAGAGGGAGAGGGGGAGAGGGGAGAGGGAGAGAGGGAGAGAAAGAGAACATTGATGTGAGAGCAGAACATCGATTGGCTGCCTCCTGCACACTCCCTACCAGGGACTAAGCCCACAACTTGGGCATGTGCCCTGACCGGGAATCAAACCAGCAACCTTTCAGCACACAGGATGCCGCCCAACCAACTGAGCCACACCGGCCAGGGTGAGCATTGCTTTATTAATGGTTTGGTCTCCTCCAGTCTTATAGCCAGACTATACAATCTTACAGTCACAATCTTATATCTAAACCATGAGAGATGAAGCAAGCAGCTCAAGAAACAATATTAAACTTTGAAAGAGCTTTTCCTTCTCCTTAGGCAATTTTGGTTTCTGAAACTTTTGTTGTTGTTTTGTTCTTTCCATTGCTTTCCAGAGAGAGTGGAAGGGAGGGAGAGAGGGAGAAGGGGAAGAGAAAGAGACAAACATCAATGTGAGAGAGACACATCAACTGGTTGTCTCCCACAGGAGCCGGGATGGAGCCTGCAGCTGAGGTATGTGCCCTTGACCAGAAATCAAACCTGGGACCCTTTGGTCCATGAGCCGATGCTCTCACCACTGAGTCAAACTGGCCAGGGTGGTTTCTGAAATTTTAATTGAAACAAAAAAATAAAGAAGTGTTCCGATTCAGAATATGAGGTGCAGAAAAGACCTCAGAACTACTTTACTCCTTGTAGAGTTGAGAAAATGGCTTCAGAACTTGCCCTAGCCCAGAGTCAAGCACCAGACTGATGAGCCTTGTAACCCCCACATCCAATGCTCTTCCCATTTTAAAGCACTGTCTTCTTAATCACCGTGACTTCAAGAACCTTTACTTGTTGTTAAATACTAGGACTAAGGACAAATGGAAAGTACTACTTTGGGTTTAATAAAAGGTTTCACAATGTAATGATTTCTCTGTGAGGATTTAATATTGTGAGGCTTTTCTTAATGCCTTGAATTACATGACAGCAGACTTCAAACACTTTCACACATCCAGAGAATACTGAAGAAGCATGAACCCTAGATGACAAATGCTATTCCACTTAACGCATATGCTGAAAGAGAAGAAAACAAAACCCTCCTTTCACAAGCTGGGTCACTCCACATATGCTTTCCTTAGAAGGGAAAGAAAAATGCTAGAAATATTCATAATTACCACAAAATAACTGAATAGAATCCTCTAAGTACTCAACCAGTTTTTCATAACATAAAGGCTGCCATTTTGCCTGTGAGGCCTGGCATTCCCACATAGCAGGTAATTAACAGAACTTTTGTGATAGATTAAGAAATGCCAGGACTACAGTTGACCCTTGAACACAGGTTTGAACTGCCCAGGTCATCTAAAAAAATAGTGCGTATAACTGGACCCTCAGTTCTGCCCAATAGCACTTCTGTCTCCCTAGACTAGAAATTCCTAGCCATGACCTGTTTCCCTAAAGGCAAGGTCTTAATTCACTTTAGAACCCTACTAGTGCCTTAAATTCATTCAACAAACATTTCTTAAACCAAATATGCACCAGTGCACAAGCTATTTTTAGTATTTCAAAAGAGCCTAAATTTACCAATAAGGTAGCATACATCAACTCAGTAATCGGATGACCTATTATAAGTGTAGTATATCTGATTAATGAGAATCAGATAAATAAATATAGCTTGTCTAGTTAGCAAACACTTTAAAACTTGGAGCCTCATGTCATGCATTCTGGGGTACTGGAAGAGTGAAAGAACACGGGCTTTGGAATGGGGCTTTACAGCCTGCCCAACCAGAGTTTCAACACTGGTTCCTCCAGTTAGTAAAGTAAATTACAACTGACTTGAGACTTTAGATCAGATACTTAACCCAAGTCTCACTTTTCTCATTTGTGAAATATGGATAATATCGCTGACCTCATAGGGCTATCATGACGACTGATGGAAGTACACAAAGTGGCTACTACTGTGTCCTTCCTCCTCACTACTTTACTGTAACGTTTACTGCCTATTAGAATTTCCTTTTCTGGTGTCTCCATTTTAAACAGGGAAGATACTACAATAATTTCAAGAAAATAACAAATCCTGCATTTGATTCTGCCCAGAGATGGACTGTATAGCACATAGGAAGTGCATAATAATCTTTGTTGAATAAGACTGGTTTTAGTTGCAGACAGCTTCTCAGGGAGATAAGCCTGGGCTCCCTATACCCACAGAAACAATTACTAGAGATTTCATTTTCTTTCTGAAGACAGGAAAAAGATGCTACTTTACATATAATCACTAACAGATCCAAAACCCCAAAGAAAAGATCTTAAATGCAAAAGAACTTTTGAACTTTATTATTATTTTTTAAAATATATGTTTTTTATTGACTTCAGAGAGAGGAAGGGAGAGGGAGAGACAGACAGAAACATCAGTGATGAGAGAGTCGTCATTGATCGGCTGCCTCCTGCACATCCCCTACTGGGGATTGAGCCCGCAACCCAAGTATGTGCCCTGACCGGGAATCAAACTGCAATCTCCTGTATCCTAGGTTGATGTTCAACTGCTGAGCCACGCTGGCCGGGCTTGAACTTTACTCTTGACTTAACCATCAAGCATCATAAGAACAGATACCATCTACTATAAAATTTTAGCCCTGGTAGGTGTGGCTCAGTCAGCTGGAGCATCCTCCCAGGTACCGAAGGGTTACAGGTTCAATCCTCAGCTGGGGCATGTATAGGAGGCAGCCGATCAATGTTCCTCTCTCACATCAATGTTTTTTTCCTCTCTAAAATCAATTAAAAGCAAAATTTATACCCCCCCCCTCCAAGACACTTTGCACATAGTAGGGACTCACTAAATATCTACTTAAATAATTTTTGTATTGTCCCCTTCTGGTCAGTTCCACAACTCACATACTAGTTACCTACAGATGTCTAAAGAGAAACCTAACAATGAACAAATCTGACCTCAGGGACTCAGGTCAGTTGAGTCAGGAAACCAGAATCCTAGAGGTTACCAGGGGGATAAAGAAACATACTGATATAAATACAGGCATGAATTTACTACTAAGGCTCACTAAGTACTCACGGAAGCAAAGGTGCCAATCTGTTTGATATTCTGCTCATAGCTCTGTGAGCTGGTGGGTCGGCCGGGGGTTCTCCTGGAGTACCAGAAAGTGTAGTTGTACTGCAGGGGATGCTCTGCCGGTCCAGGGACAACAGCCTGTGCATTGAAGAAGGTGTGTTAGTCCTGGCCATTTTTCACATGCTCTGAGACTAAGAAAACATTTTACAGCATCACCCTTTACTACCTCCCCAATTTCAAAAGGATACATGATCGATTGCCTGCAATGTGCCCAAGACTCTGCTTACACAGTAAGTTTCTGTAGTAGTTAATTGATTCTAAGTTCCTGTAACATTTTACCTCTGTTCTTGTGGTGTTTGTAACTTTCTACTTCATAACATAGGTATTTATGTTTGTATCTTATCTCAACATATTCCCAGGTCAGGAATCACCTCCTTTATGACACTCTATCACTTACCGGCTAGTAACCTAGGGCAAGTTGTTTAACCTGTTTGTGCTTCAGCTACTTATCTGGAAAATGGGATAAATAATGCTAATCATCTCACAGAGGCACTGAGCAGATGAAATAAATTAATGGATGTAAAATGCTTAGCACAGTGCCTGACACACAGGAAGTGCTCAATAAAGGTCAGCTCTATCGCTATCACCAGTATTAAATGTTAGTTCCTTGATCCACAGTTTCATTCACCTTTATATCCCCTTAGCACCTAAAATGTTGTATTTAGAGAGTACTCAATATTGCAGAATAAAGCAATTAATGATGACTCTGACTTTTTTAAGAAAGAAGTTGAGCCTGCCCGGGTGTGGCTTAGCGGTTGAGCATCAACCTAGGATCCAGGAGACTGCAGTTCGATTCCCGCTCAGGGGGCGTGCAGGAGGCAGCCGATCAATGACTCTCATCATTGATGTTTCTCTCTCTCTCTCCCTCTCCCTTCCTCTCTCTGAAATCAATAAAGATATATTTCTAAAAAAACATACAAAACAACAAAAAAGAAAAGTTGACCCACCTATTTCTCATTCTCTAATTTTTTCCTTTCCAAGTCACTTTTAGTTTAGACCATAGACTGTTACTGACTAAAGATGTGCAGGATTTGAAATACTGAGCAGCAGCCTGCGAAGCAAATGGTGCCTTGCTAACTCCGGGTATTCCCCCTACCTCAGGCTAGTGGGATGCTGGAAAGCAGGCGGCATATCAAGATCCTGTGGTAAGGGGAAGGTTCTGAGTCCCAAAATGAACTCCAGTGATTCAACAATCTTTTCTTGAGAACAAAATCAGGTATTTTAAAACAGTGTACCATCAAGTTAATATGGTATCTTCCAGATAAACAGATTCCACGAGATAACCAAGTCTCGAGTCCCAAGGCAACGACCCCTGTGCAGCACAAAACTCACCTTCCTCTTGTTGCTGCTCTGGCCTTTGTCTCGTTCCATTTTTTCCTTCTCACCATCTTTCTGTGTGCTGTTTTCTTCATTCTGATCATGGTCCCCACTGTCATCATCTTTTAATCTAAACAGAAAGGCAAAACAATGTTATCCCACGATTGAACTAATTCTTGCTTACCTAATAAAGCCAACAGGTCAAATAAACTACCATGTAACCAGCCTGAAGTCACTCAAAATACCAGCAATGAGACAAGAGAAGGGCAAGGGAATGTAGAAAGTCAATTAGGAGGATTAAACAAAACTGAAATGCTCATCAGCTAAGGTTTGAATTCCAGAACACACCGTCTTCCAGTTTCCTAACAAGCTGCACAAAGAGGCAAGCGGTAAACAGTTTAAGGGATTGTTTTCTTGACCAAAAAATAGTCAATAATCAGAAGAGGTTCTGGAAAAAGTAACTGCTTTGGCATTTCAAATGAAGTTTAAAAACTTACCTATCCTTCTTGCCACTCTTCTGACCAGGCCCTCTTCCTGTCATCTCAATTACTACAATAAATTCCTACATGGTTGCCCAACACAAATCATCTCCACTCTATCCATCTTCCACATAGCCACCAGCCCATTTAACTTCCATGCTTAAAACTCTCAACTGTCCCTTGCCCTTTGATGACCACCCTGCAGGATAAAGTATAATGAAATATAAGATACTCTAGAATCTGACTCCTGCCTGCTAGCATCCACCCCCAACCCCCAAAGCAATCTATATACCCACATCTGTGCTATGTGCAAACACTACCCTCAGCCTAAGGTGCCATTCCCTCCACATCTGTTTTTCCTACTAGATGGAGAAATCCCTTAGGACAGTATCTTATTAATCTTTGTATCTCTAGCACCTAGAGCAGGAAGATGTGGAATCAATGATAAATGAAAAAATTCAGACAAAAAATAAACAGAAGGTGAATTCACAAAGATAATCAGAATGCTGTTTAGTTGAGAGCTGGACCACTAACTTACCAGGGACCTTCTCTGAAATCACCTTTCTGGTCCTAATGACTATCTAGTCAAATGGAATTAGGCAACTCTCAAGAAAGGTTCTAGAAATGCTCAAATTATACTACCCTACACAAATACATAAACCTTTTGTAAGGCATTTTACTTTTTTATTTTTCCCCCCAAGAATCTTCACTGCCTAGTGCATAAAAAGCATTCAATAAATATTAAAATTAAGCTAGCCATGTGTTGGGGTTCCTGCTCTGCCCATTTCACAGCCCTAGCTGTAGATATATTCAGGTGGTCATGCACTGTGCCGTAAATTTCCCCATCCCGATCCTGAACAAGACATGACTATGAAGGGCACCTGACCAAAGGGCAGTCCAGCCAGGCCAATAACGTATGCCTCAGAGCCTTGCTCAAAATTATGAGCAGATTCCTTCCTCAGCTTTTCATCCAAAAGGTGAACGATCAGAGTCAGCTGGGGCAGGCGTATGGGTCCCACACAAAAAAGCCACAGGGAATAAAGGCAATGAGCAGAAGCAGAGAAAGGCAGTCCAGGAAAGGGAATGGAGCAGAGCAGCAGAGAGTAAAGGCTGGCTTGGTTTGTGACGCTGTCATTTCACTGGCTTCGTTTGGCCTCCTTGGACTTTGGGGAGGCCATTATTTGTGCTATGATACCCCTTCCCCTTAAGAAATTTGAGTTGGTTTAGTTTCCTTTCCAAAAGGAGTGTGTCTGGCACATAAGTCCCACAATGTTTACTGAGTACCTACTATTGGTATCAGACACTAAAGAGTGCCTGTCCCCACAGACCTGATGGAGGAGACACACACACGCTCAGGCCTTAGCATGACACAAAGTGCTCCTGCTCTACTTACGTGTGCCAATATCATCTCCTGACCGGTCCCAACAAACTCCCTTCACTGTAGTGATCAACCTATTTGCAGTTCCCTGACCTCACCCGTTATGTTCATTATGTGGTCTCTTCTCGGACAGCCCTCCTCTCCTACTTAAATTGTCCCTCAGGACTGAGAGTGAGGGCCACTTTCTCTTGGAAATATTTCCTGACCTCTCCCTAGGCTGAGCCTAGGCTCCCCTCTTCTGGCCCTCCCCTAATAAAGGTTGGTATTTGTCCCAGCTATACTGTAATGGCCAGTTTTTTGTCTCCTGATTAAAAACATTTCATGGGCTTTTTTCTATTGCTTAGGCCCAAGAAGAGCTCCTAACTCTCTTCCTTAGGGCGGGCCTACTCCAGACTCAAACCATTTCCCTCTCTTCTCAGCTCCCAAACCCTCATTATACCCTCTGGGTTCCCTTCCCTTAAGTCTTGGTTGAAGAGAGACATAGTCACCCTGCATCTCTCATTTTGCCTTCCAAGCAAAGCATGTAAGTTCCTTTCTTTTTAGTGGTTTTGCTGCTTATCACTAGTAGACAACAGAAAAATAACAAAAATAATTATGTTGAGAAGAAACAACACTACTGTGATCCCTGACCCACACTTTCCGACTCCCTTCTCAGATAGTCATTAGAAACCCTAATGGACCTTCATCTCGTGTAGTTATTTTTTGAGGGTGGAGTTAACCAACCAGCTACTCTCTGAGCCTACACTTAAGGCAAGTCATTTGCATTCCTATGTTCCAGTGTGAAGCTGGATCTGTGCCAAAATATAATCCAGACTGAAAAATCAGTGCTCCCTAGACTCTGGTGGGCAATTAGCATCTCTGAAGCTGTCCAGACAGAGTGGCACCTAATTAGCTCTCCAAGCTTCTGCTCAGGTATGTCCTCATATTTTCTGACTAGACAGAGTCCTTGTGGGTAAGAACTTGGTCTAATTCATCTTTATATGTCTAGCATCAGACAGTGGCAGAAAACAAACCTGTTCAGTGAATGGATTTCTAAAATCAAAGCAATACAAGGCAGAATAGGACGAGTGCCAAATAAGTGGTTCAGACAACAGTTAAGAATGGGCCAAACGCTAACAAAGACAGAGGAGGGGCAAAATCAACCTTGGCACCTAGATCTGAAAACCAAGCTTATCACAGTCGGCACTACAGAACAGTGAAAGCATCTTGGGGTTTTGCATATGAACAGGATCAATGGCAAAGGTAGCTAATGACTTGATAGATGTAGGGGGCTGGGAGAAATTACGGTCTTAGATTACATTCCCAGAAGTGGAGCCCACACTGTAAAGGAGGCTACAGTTCTTCATTAAGCCCACACTGTAAAGGAGGCATACAGTTCTTCATGAATCCATCAGATTAGACTACAGTACTCAACTCCAGGCACTGGACTTTTAGGGTTCTGGCAAACTGAACCAAGTCCTTAGGAACCACTGGTGAAAAGTACAAAAGCCAAGAATGAGACAAGGTGTACAAAAAGCAAAACTAGGGTCAGGAGTGTTGTTTTCAATTGCTAATTTCAAATGAAAGAGAGCTTTGGTTTTTTTCCTGCATAGCTAGAAGATGGACGTTAAAAAATCCTGGCTCAGTATAAGGAACAGTTAATAATCAGAACGAATTAATAATGAGCCAGGTTAAATTTTATCAAGAGGTGCTTGAACCAAGGTCAAACAACAAATCTGGGCTAGAATCCCACCGCGGGGCCTTTCCTGTTGTGGGCAAGTTCCTTAGCCTCAGAGCGCCTCACTTTCCTTACCTGTAAAAGGAGGTAACAAGATCCCCTCTGCAGGGTTGTCAGGAGTAGAAATAATATATGAAAAGTATCTAGCACGCTGCCCTTGGAAACCATTATTACTGTTCTTACATTAGATTACAGACCTCCAAATGATTTGGGTAGGGCTGGGCCAGATAACTCTTAAAACGTGCCTTAGGATACCGTTCCTATTTGTTCCGTTCGGTGCAGTAAGGGGTACAGGATTGGCAGGCAGCTCCCCGGAAGCGGGCCTTAGCTCTGCGCCAGGGGCTCCAGGGTTTGATGGGGAGGGGGCCAGGACAGGGATGGGCTCAGCTAAGCAGCAGGCTGCAGAAAGCGCTCTGCCCATAGGAAGGGCCCTCTCCGCAACCAAGAAACGTTTCTGAGCAGCTGCCCGGAGTGCTGGAGCCCAGGACCTCTGACTACGCGACCAGCACCCGCTGGACTGGAAAGACCCACTGCCCCGTCATCGCCACCGAAACTAACAGCAGTCCCGCTTCACCTTTATACATCGCCAAGTGGCAATTTACAAAACACCACTGGGCCAAGCTGAACGTGACGTGACCCTTCCAACACCCCCGTGCGGCACGCACACGGCGCTAACCGCCAACGTGGCTCGGGTAACCCTGGCTCACAGGCCGGCTCACTTTTCTCCTGTCAAGTATCTAGGAACTGGTGGGTCGGGGACAGGAAATCCAGGTCTTCGGAAGAGCTAAGAACATAATCTACCTCAAGATACAATCGGCGGAGGGAAATGTGCAAAACTGCTTTGCGTTTCCTCTCTGCATCTCCACACTGCTGCCGGAACTAGGGGTCGGACGGGGAACCGGGGCCGGGACACCGAGCGGCTCCGGGAGGGTGTGGGAAGGGGAAGGAGGGGAGGAGAGAGGAAGCAGGAAGGAGTCTCAGGAAGACGCCGCGGCGCCGCTCCACTGAGCAGCCGCGGCGCCGGCCGCAGCGGCCACGTTCCCTCACCGCACCTTCACGGCCACACACGGGCTCGACCACCGTCCCCCTGCGCGGGTGGGGAAACTGAGGCCCAGAGAGGACAGGCGACCTGCCCAGGCCAGAGTGGGTGTGAGGAAAGCGGGCTTCAGAAATTCAGAAGCGGCCGGGCTGAGGGCTGAGGGAACACCCAACCGTCCACGCCGCCGGCAACCCGCAGCGCCGGGGCGGGGCGTCCGAAAACCTCCTTCCCGGCCGCCCAGCCACCCTCTCCGGCCCCCGCGCTTCGCCCCAGGTCGGCCCCGCCCCGGGGTCTCCGGGACCCTTGCACCCGCGTCCCCA